GGGCAACCTTCACATGTATAACTGTAATTATAACAATATACATATACTGTATATATATATATATATATATATATATATACACTGTATATGTATATTGTTATAATTACAGTTATACATGTGAAGGTTGCCCCTGCCTGTTTCACAAAAGAGACCTCGTGCCATAAACCACTAAGAATAGAAGGGCTCTAGTTTCATGCAAACATTTTAACACCAAGATCCCGCTTGTTAACTTGTGCCAATATCAAGTGGAAAGTTTGTTGATTTGACATTTTAATACGAAATTCTAAATGTTGTTTCATACAGCCATGCTCAAACATGTATGTTTGTCTAAATGTTAATCTGTATTTTATATGATTTTTTTTAGGTAGCATGCAACAGCTGCTAATAAGAAATAAAAATTGTTAGAATTTGTAATGCTTAGACGTTAAGTATCAATTGGAAAATTAAACCAAACTTCCTAAACTATTAGTGCTAAGAATTTTGAACATAGTAAACAGTTATTGTGTGTTCTAAACTGGAACAAATCATCCTGTAAATAAGAAATTATTATTTGTTTTAAGCATTTGGCAACTGGATTTCTTGCTTTTTTATTTTTACTTTTTGTTTCCTGAATGTGTTTTACTTTTCAACTTAAAGGTTTTCTATGGTTCTGACTAACGGGTGAGCTTTAAGAACCACCTTGGATGAGAAAGGAAATGTCTTCAAGAATCAAAAAGAAGTCCAGCTGCTTTGTATTCAAGTTGTTAGTGTTGCCATGTTCCAAATAACTGAGAATCCACCATTTATACTGCATTGTTCCAAGAAACATTTGTATATTATGTCATATTAGAGAAGTGGTCAAAAAATCATTTATGATGAGGCTCAGTAAATCTATAAAGAAAATAAAAACTATACAACTTAAAATCATAGGTGGCTGCTGTTCACACTCGTCTTTCTGATTCACATGTATTTCCATTTATCCTTTGAAGGAGGCTTTAGGGAAATAACTAAACAAATTGCAAAGCAGTAAAAACGAAAGTGTCCTTTAAAGATTACGTATAACTCAGTGCATAATATGTTTAAGAAGGTAAAAAAAAAATTAGTTTTAGCATTCATAGAATGTCAGCTTGGTATTTTCATGAAATTTGCTTAGTTAGGCACCACAGAAAAAAATAAATAAACAAAATGAGAAAGTCATTATTTTAGATTCACTGAAACCATTAACTACATTTGTACTACAAAACATAAAAATGTGTTTTTTCATCAAAAATCTATGACTATGGATATATTTTTAAAAATGAATTAAAAACACTATTTGATTATGCTTTTTTGTTCAACCTATCTGATAGCATTTTCTTCAGTGATCTGTGCAAGCTAAAGATGCAATATTTTACTTGTTTGGTTTTTGGCATGTATGTTTTTTGCAGTATTGTCCCAATTTAACTTAAAAAATTAGATCAAAGTACTGAGGAAGACATTTTTCACTGAATTATGTTTGAGTAGCTGCCACACTCCAACCACAATCTCTGCTTTGACCTACACTTTATGGTTTTACATCAGCTTCACCACAATATGGCTGCCGTACGGCTGCGTATGGGATGTGCTGTTGCAACACATCTTCATTATGGAAGTATTTTGAATACAACATGAGCACAGTGCGAATCTACTTTTGACAATATCAATTCAGATAATTCTCTAAGCTGTAATGATAGTGTTGAAATCAGAGCCATACATTGCACATGTTGTATTCAAAATACTTCCATAATGAAGATGTGTTGCAACAGC